AACCTCACAGACTTCTAGGGCATACTAGACTCCATTGGGCTCTACCTGGTCCTCAGGCCTGCCTCCCCAGCACCCAGAGCTTGTGGAAAGGACCTCAGATACCAACACATACTTGAGTGTTGAGTGTTGGCCCCTCCACAGAGCTGGCCTTCCATCTACACCAGGGCCAGACCCAGGGACCGCAGAACAGGTACCCAGAACACCGAGGGGTAGATCTCACACTGTGTGGGCCACAGTTCCACTCCAGAGAACAGGTAGACCAGAGTACAGGAGTTCCGTGGCCTTCTGGAAACTCTGATTCCGAGGCTCAGCACCAGGATGTGCGGGGCCTGAAGGAAAATGTTTGGCTGCCTCTGTGCTGCATATACAAGCACAGGCATCCTCTCACATATGTACACACCTAGGGAGGTGCATACTTGCATGCACATACATCATCTATGTACACATACACAAACATGCCCACACATGCCTCTGCAACTCCTCTGGGTAGTCAGGGGCTACAATGACATTCCTGTCCCTGCAGCCAAAGGCTCGTAGCCAGGAGACAGGGCAGATAGACAAAAAGGACACAACAAAAGTCTGTCACTTCAAAGGGCCAAGATTTTTAGAGTCATGGAATAACACATTTGTATACACAATCAAGGAGAATCATGTAAAATGAGCCATTTTACGCTGCCATTGATCTTTCACATGGGCTATGAGAAGCTCCAGGAGGCACTGCCTCTTTCTGTTGGTGACAAGGACAGCAATGTGCCCTGTCTCAGTAGCCTGGAGCCCTGCCTGGCTCTTCCTCTACTCTAAATATCACCTTCTCCCAGGGCTGTGGTCTGCAGGTCTCCATCTCCAGGACCTTGGATTCAGGGATCCACTGTACAGCCCTGAGCTACCCCCATGTGATTCTGGGTGCACCATACCTGGAGAGTGTGGGAAGGATGCTGAGGAAGGGATATGGGTTTCTCAGACCCACCCCTCCCCTAGGAGCCTCATCACACCAAGTCTCTGTAAAGTATCTCTTGCTGCTGGGCCTGTGGACTCTGGAGTGCTGGGACAGATGAACTTGCCAGGCTGCTAGCCACCCGGTTCTCCTGTGTGGTCAAGGCCGGCTAACCAGTCATGGTATACCACTCCACTGTTGTAAGGTGAGTGCCAAGGCCTCCACAGTGACTCCCCGCCTTGTCCAGTGGGTTTTTCATGAGACAAAGAGGAAGGTACTCTAGGCTGAGGTTACTGTATCGTGACGACATTCTCATTATTAGACTACAGGCCTGATTCTGGTAGAGTGATTTGAACCCAATATATAGGATCCTGATTGGATGTCCCAGCACTCTTCAGCCATAGGACCTCCAAGTTCTGTCTATCTGGCTGGGTCTTGCTCAGTCTCTGTGATTAACTGAGTCTTACCATGGATGGGAAGGACAGGCCAGGGCCTTCCTAGACACACTCTTCCCGGAGGCCAGCGGGGCACCATCCTAAACTTGTCCAGGCAATGGGTCTAAGTTGCAGAACTGGTGGGGCCCTTCACTGGTCAGAAAGACCTTTGGAACTCTGTAAGAAACACTCTACAGACTTAGAAGGGTTGCAGACTGTTCCATCCTCTACTCCATCAGGTGACAGGGGCTGCAAAGTATGTACCCTTGGTGGCAGAGCCCAAGTGACATCAGGGGCTCAACAGAACTGTTCTGTGGCAAATGACTCACTACTCACAAGAAGGTCCCAGGACTGGTGCCTGCTGCCACAGCTACCAGCTTACAAAGAAATGGGGTCTCTAGGTCAGGCCCTGAGGGACTAATATGGCTTCTCTATATTGCACAGCTGGCCAAGTCTTCCCTGTCTATCTCATCCCTAACTGATGCCAAGTAGTGAGATGCACATTGCTAGCTTAGGAGATCCTCCTGAGTCTAGCCTTATGGTTCTGTGGCATGTTTTGAGTAAAGCCCAGACTATGGTGTCAGATCAGCTCTCACCATTCAGGAAGTCCCTTGTATATCCCCAGGACAGCTGCCACTTTCTGCTCCTCTCCAAAGGTTCCTTATCTCACAGGTGAACATGGACTCATGGAGACCGGAGGAGAGAGGGGCAGGGCATTGGATCACTGAATTCCTGGGAGAATTTTAGCTTAAAAAAAAAGTACTTGTTTATGTGTATAGATATTCTGCCTATATGTAGGTCTCTGCATGATCTATGTGCCTGGTGTCTGTGGAGGCCAGAAGAAGGCATCAGATCTCTTGGAACTGGAGTTACAGATGGTTGTGAGACATGTGTGGGTGCTAGGAATTGAACCTGGATCCTATAGAAGAACAGCCAATGCTCTTAACTGTTAAGCCATCTTTCCAGCCCACGGCTTTAGCTTTTTATGTCTCCATGAAGCCAAGCACCATGAGATCATAGGAGTAGTTACAGGGTGGGGGCTATTCTAGGATCACAAGTGTTGGGAGCTCAAAGGTCCTTATGCACACAAATCACCAGGTAAACCAGGAATGTTAAGTATGCAGGATTGTCTTTTCGGTGGAAAATATGTAAAACCTCTTCTTTCATCCAGAAAGCTTAGAACTGGAAGTGGTTAATAGCCTGATGATCTTCAATATCGCTGGGCTAGGCCATATCAATCTTCTACAACCAGGACCAGAGGTGGCTAGTAATCTAAATGACCATTATATTACCTGTACAGTCATAGGTTCCCCAAGCTCCCACAACCAGGACCTGAGATACCTAGTAGTCTAAATGAGCCTTACATTATCTGTATAGCCAGAGGCTCTCCCAAGCTCCCACAATCAGGACCAGAGGTGGCTAATAGCCTAAATGTCCTCTTTGCTACCTGTATGACTGAAACCAGGACAGATTCTTCCTTAGGTCCTTAAGCTAGCACAGGTAGCCTGTCTCTAGAACCCATCTTCTTGGAAGAAATGACATGTACCCTGAGTTGAGTTTTGATGTAATTATGCTTCCTTGTAGGGAATTGTATTGTATTCCCAAAAAGTATGCTGTGTTTAAATTTGTTGGCAATAAACTGCCTGGTACCAGACTCCCTGAGGTTTGATCCAGGTTGATGAAGTCAATTTCAACCAAGTTTTCATTCTCACCTCTTTAAGGATCACTGCTGGCCTTGACACCTGTAGGGACCCCCCTCACACAAGGGATCCCATCCAAGTGCCACAGGCAGTTGAAAGTCCACAGTGTAGTTGCTAAAATCAATGAGGCCTTGTGTTGTGACCTAGGAGGGTCACCCCTGGGTCACATTCCCCCTAAAACAACCCATCTGGAGGAAGCTGCCATGCTTTCACTATAATATGGCGCCCAAAGTGTGAGACTACGCGGTTTACAGGTGCTACAGGTGTGTGAAACTCTGAGTTGTGTGTGGCTAGAGGCAAGTGTGGGGTCCCCAGCCTGACTCTCAAAGGGGTGGCCAGCTCCAGGGGCTTCTTGCAGGCTGATGTTCCACCTGCCCTGGCCATTTTGTTTACCTAGGTAGGGTCTGTGCCCAGGCTGAGCATGAGGGCCTGAACTGTTTGCTGGGAGAAGCATGAGAAGCTTTTAAATGAACATAGCTTCTCAACTTGACCAAAATAACTTTAAATTTTGTCTCATAAACTTTTCCTTTAAATTCTTTGTTCTGGAATTAAGGATAATAGGAACTGTTTTTTTCCTCGATGGTGAAGAGAGTTACAAATATGGGAAAGGAGTCTGGAATAACTGAGAGGTTCTGCATTGAATTGGAGGTGTCACTATGAATCCATGAAGATCTGGGGGAAGGCTTTTTTGTGTGTGCATGTGTGTGTATAGCCCAGAGGTAGAAGTTGAGTATCTTTCTACATACATATATGCATACATATAATTAATTTTCAAGATAAGCTCTCACTGAACAGGGAGCTCATCAATTTGGCTAGACTGGCTAGCCAGCAAGCTCCAGGGATCCTCTTGTCTTTGTCTCAAACACTGCTGAGCCCATTTTTTTTTTTCAGGATTAGGGATTAAAGTTAGGATCTCATGTTTGTGTGGCAGTCATTTTAATGAACTGAGCTGTTTCCCCAGGCCCCATGGAGATTTTTACGTGTGCGTGTGCTAGGAGACACAGGGTGTGTGTTTCTCCACTGAGCCCCTGGAAGCAACAGACCCAATGCCAAGATCTGCCACCATCCAGATCTTTGAGAACCCCCAATGTCACGGATGTAGCTCCAGCTCTTATCTAAGTCTTTGGGTTCCACTTTAGAGTAGAGGGTCTCCTCCATAATCTCTGGCCCTGATGTGGGGTCATACCACTCCAGGCTAATTACCCTTTATGCTTCGTGCAGATAGCACTGGACCTTCTGCTAAGAGAGCTTCTCTGGCCCCTAAGCAACCCAAGCTCTGTTGCGACCCTCATCTCCCCAGTGACACCCTCTCCCCCGTACCCCCTCCCCTGTTTGAGCTCACCCCTCATTGGGTGAGGTGTCAAAGACCAAGACAGAAGTGATCAGAAAATATGTGCCAGAGCGAGTGACAGAGTCAGAGTCATGCAGAACCAAGGGCTGGTTGTGGGAGGGAGAGAAAGGGACAAGGGAGGGATTGAGGGAGCCCTCCAACTCCCAGGAGGCCAATCACACAGTCCCTGCAAGGTCTCACCCCCAGCTCAGGTCAGTATTCATTCCCTTCTTAAGGCATTCCTGCTGTGGGAGACTTATCTAGGGGAAGAACTCATTGTGAGTGGGTCTAAAACCCAGGAGACCCTCCCAGAGGAAGACAATCCTGTTTCACAGAGAGGATCCAGAACCAGACCCAGCACCAGGTAGATAGACAATAGGTAGGTGCAGCAGAAGGTAGGTAGATCTTCGGGCAGTCAGGGGCCACCCTAATTCCCCTGAGTGGCTTATTCCGTTGTGACCAGTGCCCTTAGGCCAGGTTGGAGTTGGGGAAGGGCAAGGCCTAGTCTTCTTCCTCAGAAGCAGGCACCCTCAGGTGTCCTCCTAGGTTCGGGGACAAATGAAAATGCTCACACAAGCTGCAACCAAAAGAGAAACCAAGACTCAGGTGGATGTGAATCTTTACTTACAGAAAAGCAACAGAGCCAGAGGCCCACCAGGGACAGGGGCTTCAGCAGGGTGCTGTGGGGCAGGAGGACAATCACTGGGGGGAGAAGCATCAGGAGGTGCACAGGTCAAATAGCTTGTGGGGGACGCTGTGAAGACAGAAGGGTCAGAGTGAAAGGGACAGAGGACTGGTGTGCTGGACAGGAAAGCAAGCCCTGTGCACAGACCTGGAGGTAGCCTCGAGAGAGGATGCACATCTGGGTAGGTGTCTGGGCCTGGTAGGAAGTGAGGGATAGAGGGAAATGGGGCGGAGAAGGGCGGGGAAGGGCGGGAGAGATGGGTAGGGTAGGGCAGGGTAGGGCAGAGCAAGCCTGTGACCCTGCGAGCTAGCCAGCCCCTGTTTAGAAGGGACACACTTACCCCAGTCACTGGCGGAGGGGGAGGGGACAGGGGAACGGGAGACGGTCACTGAGGGGCCTGGGACGGCATGCCCTCTGTCTTGGGTGGGTCTCCTTCCTCTCTCATGGCCGAAGGCTTCCCTGATGGGTCTATGCCGGACGGCTCAGTGCCTGCTGCCGCTGCCGCTGCTGCAGTGGACACAACCACGGCTGCAGGGGTGGGGCCCTTATGCTCTTCCTTGGAGGCCCGGTAGCTGTTCCCCCAGATGGCAGGCATCTCGGTGACATGCTTGCGGTTCACAGGGTAGGCCCCGAGGGCTGCCAGGATGTTGCGGTGGCGATCTTGGTTATCGGTGTCCATCTCCGTGTAGTACATCTCCAGGGTCAGCGGGGTGCAGATCTTGTGCTGTAGCGGAGGCATGTTTCGGACCGGCAGGGGGATGGGGAATCATAGTGAAAAAAGAGGAGGAAGGGTCATAATTAAAAACCCACAAAGGCGGCTTTGGCTTCGGGTCAGAGGGTCAGAGGGTCAGAGCCTGAGGCTCCTTGGACAAGGGGGTGGTGTGGAGCCTCCACTGGCGAGGAGTCTTTTAGAACTATGCTGTGTGGGAAAGGTGGATAGCAGACTGGTGTGGGGAACCATGCTTGTAATCCCGGCACTGGGAAGGTTGAGGCAGGAGGATTGATGTGAGCTGGAGGCTGGTATGGGCTACACAGTGAATTCCAGAACAGCCAAAGCTAAAAATGTCTCCCCTCCCCGGAAAAACAAAAAACAAAAAACAAAAAAAACGGCAGCCGGACTTCAGTGCCTCTGTGAACTCCATCCCAGAGACCAGAGGATTAAAGGGGGAAAAAGAGGAGACATTATTTCTAAAATATGAAGCACTTTAAAAAAATATTGGAATTTATAACTGTCGTTTAATAGAGTTGAGATTTTTAAAGTAGAAGGAAATATTTACTAAGTATGCAGAAAGCACTGATGTCCATAATACGTTTAAAAGTCTCTCACATGGGCCAGTGGTGGTAATACATGCTTTAATCCCTTGGGAGGCAAAGACACTATCTCTGTGAGTTCCAGGCCAGCCAGGGCTTCACAGTGAGACTCTATTTCAGGACAATAGTCAAAGAAACAAACCTCTTAAAGTCTAAGGAAAAAACAAAAGGGCTCAGAAAAGAAACCTGCTAAAGCCAGGCAGTGGTGGCGCACACCTTTAATTCCAGCACTTGGGAGGCAGAGGCAGGTGGATCTCTGTGAGTTCGAGGCCAGCCTGGTCTATAAAGTGATGTTCCAGGAAAGGCACAAAACTACACAGAGAAACCCTGTCTCGGAAGGAAGGAAGGAAGGAAGGAAGGAAGGAAGGAAGGAAGGAAGGAAGGAAGGAAGGAAGAAAGAAAGAAGAGAAGCCTGCTAAGTGCAGGTAGGGCTCCTGAAGTTCTCCTGGCACCTCCTGCTTCACTTTAGATGAAAACAAAAATAACAAACAAATAAACAAAAACCCCTCCTCTCTCTGTTTTCAAATTTTATTTTGTGTGTCTGTAACTGTGCTTGAGTTGGCTGGAGGAGGTCTCCTTGAGACAGGGTCTCTCACAGAACCGGGAGCAAGCCTTAGCAACTATCTTGCTCTGTCACCTCACAGTGCTGGGGTTACAGGCAGTCTCATCTGGCCTTTTACTTGGGTTCTGGGGATTTGAATCCAGGTCCTTATGCTTCTACAGCCTGTGCTTTTCCCTAGGAGCCGTTTCTGTGGCCCTAAAGCCACCTTTTTCTAGGAAATTTTCAAAAGATGGGATCTTGGTATGTTCTGGGAAGTAAGGGGGTCAATCACACAGGGATAGTCTTGTCATGGAGAAGGAAACCCAGGGGTGTGAGATGGGAAGCATCCTCCCTGATGCTGCCACGGAAAGCCCTCCACATCCTGGCATTGACTAGAGACCATAGGAGGACCATGGTGGTCTCTACTGTCTCTGCCCTGGTCTTTGGTCCCTGAGGCTTACCCGAAGCAGGAAGCCATCTGGGCAGGAGAACTGGTCATACCAAATGGCCTTGTACATGATCAGCACACAGCCCATGAGTGCCATGGCAAAGGCGATCATCCTTGCAGTGGGCACCTGGCAGAGAGAAAGAAGCAGAATTTAGTGCAGGTGAGCTACAGCGGGGCCAGCCTCCTTGAGGTAATGGCCCTAAGAACTGGGGATGGGAACAATGCCACTGCCCCTACATCTTGTCTCCTTCCTTGAGGTCAGCTCTAGGACCCAAGGTCCAGGAACTATTCTTTGTAGGCCCAGCTTTGCTGGGATTATGGAAACATCCATGATCAGTTAAGTTGCACGCAGCCAATTGACCCAGAAGGTGCTATTAGGAACTGGTTTGCACTGCCCATGTGGCCTGCAGAAGTTGGTTGTTGTATGATATTTTGTTTGTGTTCTGACAAATAAAGCTTGCCTGGAGATCAGAGGGCGGAGCTAGACACTAGTTAACCATAGAGGCCCGGCAGTGGTGGCACACACCTTGAATCCCAGCACTTGGAAGGAGGAAGAAGGAAGATCAGAAGTTTAAGGCCACCCTGGGCTATACAAGATTGATCCAGTCTAAAAGAGAAACAGAGCCCAGAGGTGGTGGTGCACACCTTTAATCCCAGCACTAGGGAGTGGAGAAAGCAATATAAGGTGGGTGGAGACAGGATCTCAAATTCAAAGAGGTAAGAAGTTTCTAGTGGCTGCTGCTCATTTCTCTGATCTTTCAGCTTTCATCCTCGATATCTGACTCTGGGTTTTTAATTATGAAGACTAATTAGGATCACACTTCAGTTAGTGGTCATCACAGCAGGAGTATTGGGAGAGAAAGCATTGTGTGTGTGTGTGTGTGTGTGTGTGTGTGTGTGTGTAACATCTAGTGAGGAGGTGCATTAGTACCACCCTGGGTGAATCCAAAGAGCGACACCTTTAATGGTCACTTCCATTGAAGAAACTACGGGAAAGGGCAGGTGTTGCTTCTGAAAACGGAAAAGCATTAGAAATAGTCAGCTAAAAGTGATTATTAAAACCATTACTGTTGTGGTTAAAAGAAGACAAAGAGGAGACATTTGCCAGATAAAAGGTAAAGCTCATATCAGTTTCACAGAAAGCCTGCAAGGAGGTTGGGATGGGCTGGGAAACAGGTACTTCCCATGGGAAGTGTCTTCCAGGAGCTCAGGCTGGGAGGATTAACAGCTAGGTGCCAGCCATCACTAGAGGTGACATCTGGGTAGAATTGATCCCTCTTGTCCTTAGAAGATCCAAGTGGGACCCAACCAGGCAAGCAAGACCTGAATTGCTCATCTAGCCTCTCCCCTGCTCTAACTTCCCACAGTGAGGGGTAATATACTTACTCTGCGTCCTTCCTCTGTTTGGCAGGCCAGCCTTTGACCCTCCAAATCTGCAAACTTCTTTGGCTGGTCTGAGGAGGTAAGCTGATAGTCTGTCTGTGTTTTGATGACCACCTAAAGGAAGAGATGGTATGGCATTGCTGGACAGCTGGCAGGGACCCAGGAAAGCCCTGAACTGAGGGACTGGGGAGCTGGGGTGGTGGTGCCGACCATCTGTCTCTACTGTTTGGTGGCCAGCAGAGCTGTAACATCTCAAAGCTGAAGCCAAAGGAAGGTGGACCTGGAGAGTCTGATGGGGACCACAGCTGTTCAAGGTCTCGCCAGGCCATGGATGGAGTTCCTCACTCTACGGGTGCCTTCCATTCAGGGTGCTGGCTCTCCTACACGAACTTCCCTCTCTGCTGCTCCACAGTCTGGCTCCTCTCCTTCAGGAGGTCTGACCTGACTTCTCTGATGGCTTCCAGAGTCTTGTGCCTCCAACTACATGGGGCTCAGACTTGGGTAATTCTAGGCTGTCTGTATTCTTGAGGGCAAAGGATAGATCTGCCCTCATCATTCATTGTTACAGTAAATGTAGCTGAAGCCCACCCAGATCATTGGAGAGCTACCCTGGGCTCCTGAAGGGTCAGGCTAGGCCAGCCTGTGCTACTTTTTCTTCTCACTGACTTCTGCTGAAGGTCACCTATCCCTGCTCAGTCACCTGCCTAAGAAGCCCTATTTTGTGCCCTAACCTAGAGCCCTGCCCAGAAAAGAAAGAATGGTGTCCTAGTTTGGGTTACTATTGCTGTGATGAAATACCATGATCAAAAACAAGAAGGGGAAGAGTTTATGTGGCTTACACTTCCACATCATTGTCTATCATTGAAGGAAGTCAGGACAGGAACTCAAACAGCTGGAATCCGGAGGCAGGAGCTGATGCAGAAGCCATGGAGGAGAGCTGCTTCCTGGCTTGTTCCCCAGGGCTTGCTCCTCATACTTTCTTACAGAACCCAGGACTGCCAGCCCAGGGATGGTGCCACCCACAATGGGCTTAGCCTGCCCTATCAGTCATTAAGAAAATGCTCTGTAGGCTTGCCTACAGTCGGATCTTATGAAGCCATTTTCTCAATGGAGGTTTTCTCCTCTCAGATGACTATAACTGGTATCAAGTTGACATCAAACTAGCCCACATGAGTTGTAACTGCAACTTGTTGGTCCCTGTTAGATTACATCACAGTCTGAGTGCTTAAATTCTGAGGAATCCAGTGGTTAGTTTACCCTGTTTCAGATGAGGTAGGAGCTCTGGATATGAGAGAGCTAACCATGAGGTCACACTTGTCAGTGGTTAGTTTGGATTTTTGTCCAGCTTGGCCTATCCTCAGGGCACTTTGGAGGAGGCAACATCTACATAAAGCTTACCCACACCTCTTTGTCCCTAGGCAAGCTGAGAAAGCCTCCCACACAGTCTCAGCATACTCACCTGGTCAGAGAATGATGGCTGGAGCTGGCTGACATCCAGGGGACTGATAAGAGGGACACTGTCCATGGCAGACCCATCCTGGCCTCCTGTCTCCTTGCCTGAATTCCCAGAGAAGCTGAAGCCCAGCTTCACCATGGTGGATGGTGGTCCTTGTCCCAGCCTAGAAACAGAGTTAGACTCTTACAAGTCATCCTATGGACAGCCACATAGCTAGATCTGGAGTAAGGACCCAGAATGGTCCCAACACTCCGCATACAAAATCCAGGGATTTGCTGCAGGAGGACCAACTCAAGGTTTCACATCCCTTCCTGACCTCCCAGCAGTGCAGAATGGTGCCTCTGGCCAGAGAATATCTCAAAATAGAACCGAGGCATCGTCCTCCAGCCAGCCTACTCTGGTGTGTGCTTCAAGGACACATATTTCACTGGGAGGAAAAGATTCAGGGAGCAGTTGGGAGAGCTGGACTGCCAGACTAAGCAGGAGGCCCAGATTCATGTGAATTTGTTAACTGTTGATATTTTAAAACAGAACAAAACACAACAAAGAACATCTATCCCATGCAATATGGGATATGTCCATATTAATTCCCATTGCTTATCTATGTGAAATTCAAAGGAAGGTATCAAAAGTATGCAGTCTAGTGGTGCAGGAAGACCAGGCCTTTGGAGATCTGAGCTTGCATCCTGCCAGTCAGGTAGTGATTGCAGTCTGGAGGAGGGTGCAGGTCCCACTGACTCCAGGTAAGTACAGAATGAACTTGTTCAAGGCTGGAGAGATGGCTCAGCAGTTAAGAGTGCTTGCTGCTCTTGCAGAGGACCTAGGCTGGGTTTCCAGCATCCATATAAAATGGCTTCACGGCTGGGGGTGGTGGCGCATGCCTTTAATCCCAGCACTCGGGAGGCAGAGCCAGGCGGATCTCTGTGAGTTCAAGGCCAGCCTGGTCTACAGAGCGAGATCCAGGACAGGCACCAAAACTACACTGAGAAACCCTGTCTTGAAAAACAAAACAAAATAAAACAAAAATGCCTTCACAACTTCCTGTAACTCTGGTTCCAGGGGATCTGCTGCTCTCTTCTGGCCTCCACATGTTTCTGAATGCATGTGGCATACATACACACAGACATATAAATGTAAACATAATAAATAAATTTTTTGTTTTTGTTTTTGTTTTTTTTTTCGAGACAGGGTTTCCCTGTGTAGTTTTAGTGCCTGTCCTAGATCTTGCTCTGTAGACCAGGCTGGTCTTGAACTCACAGAGATCCGCCTGGCTCTGCCTCCTGAGTGCTGGGATTACCACTGCCCGGCAAATAAATATTTTTAAAAAAGGAGTGTACACTCTGATCTTGTGACTGCTCTCTGTGGGGAAAGGATCTCTAAGCTGACAGATGGAAAATGAAACATACCATTATTAAAACCCTCTTGGAACTGTGTGTAGCTATGCTTGCTTTTATTCCTGGCTCTTGGGAGGCAGAGGAAGGTAGATCTCTGAGTTTGAAGCCAGCCTGCTCTATATAGCAAGTTCCAGGCCACCTAGTGATGCACAGTGAGATCCTGTCTCAAAAAATAAAATAAGATACTACAAAACAAAACAACCCCCCATCTCATGTAGAACTCCAATCTTAGACAAAGTCATGCCAAGGTAACCATTTTTAAAAGGAAATGCTGCTAATGTGTTGCAAAATTTCCAGAGAAAGAACAAAGGAGCCCTCATCAGCTCCTGAGGTCACCCCTCTTGCCCCTTCACAGCTCCCAAGCACATTGGGAGGAAGGAACTCACAGGTCAGCCCCACCCACAAACGGCAGAGACTTTAAGTGAAACCTAAGCAAGCTGAGTTCAGCAAAATATAAAAAGATCAAAAAAAGTTGTGTGTAAGAACCAGGGAGGCTATATAGCAGGGGGGACCCTAGGATGACTGTGGCTTATAGTAAGTTTTGGTTTTACTCAATCACTGGGCAAGCTTCAGTGAAACATTTCACAATTAGGATAAGAATTTATAATGTATCAAGCTGATAATAGAAAAATAAATTTAAAAAGTGAAAAACAAAACAAAAAGTTGTGTGTATTCTGGTGTGAAATTTTGAAGGCAATTCCATGGGGCTGGGGGATGGCTCAGTCGGTAAAGTACTCGCTTTGCAAGCACAAGGACCTTGTTCTGATCCCCAGCACCACAGAGAAGCTGGGCCGGTGGCTAGCATCTGTAACCACAGGGCTGGGAGGAAATGGGCAGAGACATGTGGATTTGGTGGCTCAACAGCCAGCTTGCCATCATAGCTGAAACGGAGAGCTTGACGTTCAGTGAGAGACCCTGTCTCAAAAAATAAGGTGGAGAGTCATAGAGGAAAACACCCAAAGGGACCTACGTACACACAGGTGAGTGTCTTTGAACACATAGGCACACATCACATCACACACACACACACATACACACACACACACACACACACACACACTGGAACTGAAGAGATGGTTCAGTAGTAAAGAGCACTTGTTGCTCTTGCACACGACCTCGATTCAGTTCCCAGCACCAACATGGTGGCTCAAAATGGTTTATAAAACCAGTTCCGGAGATCTGACACCCTCTTCTGACCTCTACAAGCACCAGACACATAAGTGGTGCACATACATACATGTAGGCAAAACGTTTACTCTGACACACAAAATAAAACAAATCTAAATTAAACAAAATAAGAAGGGATTGGAGAAATGGCTTGGCAGTTGAAAACACTGGCTGCTTTTACAGAGGCCCTGGGTTCAGTTCCCAGCACCCACATCGTGACTCACAACCGTCCATAATTCCAGTCTGAGAGGATCTGATGCCCTCTTCTGACCTCCACAAGCATGAGACACACACATGGTACTCAGACATACATTCAGGTAAAATACCTATACAAATAAAAGAAAAGATTTTAAAAATAAGAAAAGCTAGCTGGTTGTGGTGGCATATGCCTTTAATTCTAGCACCTGGGAGGCAGAGTTCCAGGACAGCCAGGGTTACAAAGAGAAATCCTATTTCAAAAAACAAAACAAAACAAAAACCCAAACCCAACCCAACCAAACAAACAAACAAACAAAAAACAACAAACCCCCAAAAAAACCAACCTGCCCAAAAATCCCAAATAAATAAGTAAATATAATAAAAAAAAGTCAGACAGCGGTGGTGCATGCCTTTAATTCCAGCATTTGAGAGGCAGAGGCTGGAAGATCTCTGTGAGTTTAAGGCCAGTCTGGTCTACAGAGTGAGTTCCAGGACAGTCAAGGCTACACAAAGAAACCCTGTCTTGATATTCTCCAATCCTCCCCTCCCCTAGGGAAAAAAAAAGAAAGAAAGAAAAAAAAAAGAAGAAGAAAAGCTATCTCTACATTAACAGACTAAAGGAGATAATCATCTGGGTGGTTTTATCAGGAGTCAAAAAGATATTTGGTAAGACTTTAAGTTCATTCACAAATTAAAAAATTTTTTTTGCACACTGAGGGCAGAGGGAGAAGAAATGTTCTTAAACCCCATGAAAGTTACACACACACACACACACACACACACACACACACACACACACACACACAAACCCCCAACAGATTAATGAACATAAGTTTTATTATTTTTTTTTTATTTTGTCTTTTGAAACAGAGTCTCCAGGCTGACCCTGAATTTCTGATCCTCCTTCCTCAGATTCCTGAGTCCTGGATTACAGGTGTGCATCATCACATATGGCTTGAATTTGGGCCTTCTGTTTTGGAGACCATGGAGATGTAGATGACCTTGTCTGATGTGGTGATTTGCATAAGAATGGCCTGCACAGGCTCAGATCGGTTAATTCTTAGTCACTAGGGAGTGTCACTATTTAAAAGGATTAGAAGGATTAGGAGCTGTGGCCTTGTTGGAGAAAGTGTGTCACTGGTAGTGAGCTTTGAGGTTTCAAAAGCCCAAGCCAGGCCCTGTCTCTCTCTCTCTCTGCCTGTGAATCAGGATGTAGCTCTCAGCTACTTCTCCAATACCATGCCTGCCATTCCTGCTGCCATGCTCCTCTTCGTGGTGATAATAGACTAAACCTCCAAAACTGTAAGCAAGCCTTCAATTGAATGCTTTTTTTTCATAAGAGTTGCCTTGGTCATGGTGTCTCTTCACAGCAATAGAACAGTGACTAAGACAGCTGATGAAGTCCCAGAAACTGTGGTCCTGCATGCTCAGCCAGCACAGTTTCACCAGGCAAAGGAACCAGGCCAGAGGTTCAGAGAGTAGTGCAGATCATTCATTGATGAAATAGCTTCTGTGTTTAAATGCAAAGACAAATCCTCCACATATAAAGTGCACAAAATGAAAGAGTCCAGGGTCAGTGAGATGGCTGAGTGGGTAAGAGCACTTGCTGCCAAGTCTGAAAACCTGAGTTCAATCCCCAGGACTCACCTGGTAGAAGGAGAAAACTGCATCATGCAATTGTGCTCTGACTTCCACTGTGTGCCATGACATAAGGGTGCTCACTCACACACAATAAATAAATGCAATAAAAAATTTGAAGGGCTCAGTGGTTAAGAGTACTGGCTATTCTTCCAGAGGACCTCTGTTCAGTTCCTAGCACCCACAAAGCAGCTCACAGCTATCTGTAACTCCATTTCTAGGGTATCCAATGGCCTCTTCTGAACTTCAAGGGTACCAGAAATACATGTGGTGCACACACAAACATATATGTAAAACATTCATACACACAAAAAATTTAAAATGACAAAGTCCAGTTATATCTTAGAAAGCAGATATATTTCTATGTCAGTGGCAAAAATATTTTTGAGAAAAAGGTGTGTTAAATTTTTTTATTATTTTTAATTATATGTGTCTATGTGCAAATTTATTTTATTATGTTTTGCCTGAGTGTGTGTCTGCGTCCACTTGCAGAGGTCAGAAGAAGGTGACACATTCCCCCGGAACTAAAGTTTGTGTGTATCTGTTCATGCAGTTGTCCTCAGAAGCTAAAGGTATCAGATCCTCTGGAACTGAAGTTACAGGAAGCTGGGAGTTGCCTGATGTGGGTGCTTGGAATGCAACTTAGGTCCTCTCTGCTCTCAACCACTGAACCATCTCACCAGATGAAGTTTTTTTTTTTTTTTAAATGAAGTTGGGTCTCACTATATAGTCCTCTATAGTTCAAGGCTGGCCTTGAACTCAAGAGTGTCTTGCCTCAACCTCCCCATGGTAAGCCAGCTAAAATTCTATTTAAATACTTTCAAAGCCCAGGACAGAGATTATGGGCAAGTGCTCCACAGGGAAAGCCATGAAATATTGACTGGAGGCGGGGACAAGGAACACTGGAATCCTCCATCAGATAGGGAAGGCTCTCTAGGGCAGATTTTGGAGGTCTTTATGCTTAAACATCTCTGACTGTATTTGTAGAATCAACAACTCCCAATCAAAATTCCAACAAATTTGTTTATGAATTGCTAATAATAAAGCTGATTGGCCAACAGCAGGCCAGAAAGAGATTGGGCAAGGCAGCCTGACACAGGGAGAATGCTGGGAGAGAAAGGCTGAGTCAGGGCAGTCGAGAGAGATGCAAGCCAGTGCCCAGAAAGCAAGATATGCTAGAGGACAAGTAAAACCACGAGCCATGTGGCAATACATAGATTAATAGAAATGGGTTAATTTAAATGTAAGAGTTAGCTAGTAACAAGCCTGATCTATCAGCTGAGCATTTATAATTCATATTCAGTCTTTGTGTTGGTTATTTGGGATCGGGCATTCAGGACAGGAAATTCCACTTACAATGAACTTGAAACATGAAAAATTTTATGTACAAGGTAGAAAGACAGGAACACACAGATGTCTTGACAAAAGAAATGTATCTGCTGGGTGCCTGCCTTGAACACAGCAGTGTACGCAAGGGCTGCTGATGCCTTGTGGAAACACATTTGACACATTCTACACATTCCGACCTCAGTTAATAGCAGAGAGGCTGCTTGTGTCTTAAAGTCCACTTGGAGTAAAGCAGATCTCATCACTACATGCATATTTGAACACACATAATGAGCACACATGTGTGTACATACAATGCACACATGAACACAAGAATTTGTTCTGGGTGTGTGAATATGGAAAACTGAGACAACAAAGCACTTCCGAGACAATGCAGGAGAATGTTTCCAATCTCAGGAAGAGAGCGATTTCACCAGCGACATTCAGATTTCACCAGATTTCCTTTCATAGGTGGAAATCTCAATAAAATTACCTTCCATGTTGAAATTAAAAACCCCTGCCTATCAAGACAAGACCTTCAAAGAGGTGAAACAAAAGCCTTTACAATGCACAAGTGACAACAGGATGTTGTGGGTTAACAGATGTCCTCACAAAGAGGACACCAAGTTTTCACTCTTAGTATCTGTGAAAGAGACTGTATTTGAAACAGTCCTTACAGTTGTAATGGAGTTAAGATGAAGTCCTATTGGAACATGTAGGGGCGGGTTATTCCACTGTGGGCATCCTTACAAGAGGATTTGGACCTAAGGGGAATGCCTTCTGCAGATGGAGGCAGGCTGTAGTGACGCAGCTGCTATCCAAAGACTGCTCAGGACAGCAGAGACTGGAAGGAGCAAAGGAAGACCCTCTGGAAGCTTCAGCAGAAGCACGGCTCTGCTGAAATCTGCTTTTGGATTTCTTGCCTCCGCTGAAATCTGCTTTTGGATTTCTTGCCTCCAGGATGGTAAAAGTTGTGGTTATTTTGGACAGCCGCCCTCGGAAGGCCAGCTTCCCTCCAGACCTGCAGATACCCACTGCTTCTCCCTCTCTACTGGCGGGGCCACACAGATGTGACAGCCCCGAGGAACACAGAGAAGCTGGTGTTTCAAAGCTGTCCAGTGTTAGGGACAGCTGGGTGCAGAACTTCCCAGGGCAAGAAAGTAGAGAAGGAAGGCTGGGTAGGGGATGAGGGAGGTATGGCTACGAGGAGGAGGGGGAAAAACAGCATCTACACTCTCTCCCCCATCTCAGGCGGGCCCTCGAAGACACTGGTCCCTTTGATGTGTGTTACACCTGTGACCTTCCGCCTGGCCCAGCCTTTACGGAGATCAGGCAGTTGTCAACAAGAACCTCTTTAAGAGGTGAATCCGGTCCTAAGGAGGAAGCTGGCTCTATCTACGTTGACCCTGGGTACGTAGGAAATCGGATGGCTTGGGGGCAACCCGATGAGCATTGTGATAGAGATGGACCGGAAATTATTATAAAAGAATATAAATGGTTGGCCAGGTGATACGCGGAGGCAAAAGAGCCAGGAAAATGGAAACCGACAGAAGATGGCGTCCTCCCCACGCATCCCAGTCTCTACTACCATCAGCAAGAGACCCCTCCCTCCCTTCCTTCGAAATCCGCCTTCGGTTGCCACGGTGACACAGCCGAGAGCTATTTTACGTCACCGCGGGTTCCCATGGCAACGGAGGCAGGTTCCCCCCGCCCCCCAGCACCATGTCAAGTTTCTAGTCCTCCATAGCTAGGCAGAACATCGCAAACCAAGGGCTCTGTGTGGAAAACCCCCCTCCTCTCAGCACACCAAAAGAGTCCATTCTGGATCTTGGGGGGCCCCGCTGGGAGATGGCAGGGGTCATAAAGCTTTAGAATTAGGAAGGCGTCCCAACACCACCCACGGGTCCTTCCTCCATCCTACTCTGTCATTTTGTCTCCTAAGGATTTGCTGCTCATTCGCAGTGCTCTCCGGGGGGCGGGGCGGGGCATCTCTGGTCACGATCTAGGGGTTGCGCACAGACAGGTTGTTGACGGACAAACGATGGGGGATGCGGACTCTTTTTTGAAAGCCCATAAAAGCTGGGCTAGAGGTCACAGACTCGCTTTCACACGCACTCTTTCATGCTGCGTCACACACAAGTCCATGTTGGTGCGGACTCCTGCCCTCGTCCTGCTCCCCAACCAACCCCACACCACAGCCCTGCCGCAGGGCCCACCCTGGTCTGCTTGCATCCCAGCCCTGTAGGTAGTGGTTTGCTTCTGGTTTTAAGGGCTGTTGTTCTGCGGGGGCCCAAGCAAAGGGGGACAGAGAGGAGGTACACGGTTACTCGCAGTTCCCCACACTCACCAGCCACCTGTGGCCCAGCATCCGGAGCCAGCAGAGCCGCGGCAGGTGGTTTGAGACAAGTGGCTGCCCTACCTCCTACCCTCCTCGAACCTTCACGCAGCGACCCCCATCATGCCCTCCCATGCGCAGACAGGAGACAGACTCAATGCTCTGGTCAACACCCCTTCTGCTGACCTCTTTCTCCCCATCTGGCTGTTTCCCCTTTTCTTCACCCCACCCCCACAGCAGACGGAACCGAACAGGAGCTGAGATTCGTGCCCCTGGGCCACCTTGGGGATGTACAGCTCCCACTGGCTCCCCCGGACCTGCAGAGGTGGAGCCAGCCCACAGGGAGGGGGCTGCAGTCACCATGGACTGGGTGGGCTGAGGTCCAGCTGTCCCACAGCCTCTGCTACCCTACATGCCCAGGATGGGGAATTCCAGCCTCCTATGAGATTTGTGCAGTCTGAGCAGCCATAATTCTTTATAATGTCCAGGCTGCCATTGACCTGTAGGGGTTTCTCGACATACCTCGAGGTCTAGGGACCACTCCACCTCAAGTCAGCAGAGCTTCCCCCAGCTGTCCCGAGAGGTCTAATGATCATCCTCCACCCAAGCCAGCAGGGCCAGCCCGATTTCTACTGGAGACCACGGGGAGGAGATGGCTGTGCTCCATCGCTCTGGCAGCCATCAGGTTAGCCAAATTACTCCCACATAGACTCTCAACCCCTACACCCATATCCTTGCACATACATCCCACACACGCACACTCGCACACTCTTGCACCCGCTCCCCCATCTTCGCACCTCTCACATCCCTGCACCCTTGCACGCCCACGCACACATTCTGGCCCCCTCGTCCCCATTCCAAAAGGAGAAACGTGGAAATGGCTCACAGGCAGCTCACAGGCAGTTGCTGCAGGACGCAGTCGCGGGAGGACGGGGATGCGGTGTGGATGCGGAGGATGCAGTTCCAGACGCTTCGCCACCAGGCGGGGCGGGCAAGGGGCTGGAGCCTGAGAACGAGGCTGTGGTTGCCATGGAGATGCAGGCTGGAGGAGGGACCACTGTGGCTCAGGTGGCCTCACACCCCCCTCCCACAGCAGGCCTCTGCACCGTCTCTAATCACAATCACACACCTGACACACACACTTCACACACCTCTGACACGCATCTCACATATTCGATACACACTTCACCCCTCCCCATCTCTCATACTGCTAAGACACACCTCACACACACTTTGCACCCCTGACACACAGCATGCGGAGTCACACACCGCACCAGCTCTCACACTTCATCACTTTGCTGCAGGGTGCAGACACCAAACCAGAGGAGCCCTGGCTGCTCCTCCAGCTGGGATTCCTGGGTTTAAGAAGGATCCAGAACCTTCCCCTGACCATCTCACAGTAGAGCCTGGGGCCAGGACAGCTGAGGTTGGCCTCTTGCTGGGAGGGTATTCCTCTAGGTGTCAGTGTCTGAACTCCGGGGCTGGAAGCTTTCCTAGGACTGGCCTTGTCGATTTTGGTCACTGTTGTCTGTGTAATGCCAGTATGCAGAAGGCACTGGACAGATGTTTGGTTGAGTGTATGCCATGTGTCACACAGGACATCTCTGGTGGACAGGCTTCTCCGTGAATGGTGGTGAACAGTGACCGCACTCTGTATCCAGAGCTCAGTCTTGCTGTTGACTAGAATCTTGATGCAGTCATGCATCATGATTTGTTCATGGACAGATGTCTGGGTTGTTCTCCTTTATGTCTGTTGCTTGAAATGTAACAACATCCCTGACCAAGTCTTTGTTAGTTATTGCTCTTGGGTAGATGTTGGGAATTGTTGTGAGCTGCCAATGTGGGTGCTGGAACTGAACTCTGGCTCTCTCCGAGAGTGTCAAGTGCCCTCTCTCCAGGCCCAACACTATTTTACACTCTTGTCAGCTGTGTAGAGGAGCCCTATATATCCATCGACACCATTTATTATTGTCTTATAATAGACATTGACACCAGCCTGCCAGCTGGCCAGAACAAACCTCCGCAGATGGTTAGTCTTATTATTCTGGAGGCCAGAGCTCTGAGATCAAGGTGCTGGTGCGGATCCTGCTGACACCCTGTTCCTTGACTTGTGTAGACATTATCTGTCATTGTCCCAATTTCTTCTAAGTAGGACACCTACCATACTGGATTAGGGCCTACCCCAATTACCCCATTTTAAATTAACTACTTACCCACTTCCTCCTTCTCCTCCTCTTCTTCATCTTCTGTTCCTCTTCCCCTACTCCTCATCCTTCTTCTTGAGACAGCATCTCATGTAGCCTTGTTGGCCTTGACTTCTCTGTGTATCCTAGAATAATGATGAATTCCTGGTCTTCTTGACTCCACTTCTTGAGTGCTGGGATTACAGCTATGCACCACCATACCCATTTATGTGGTCCTCAAGATTGGGACTCAGGTCTCTGTGCATGTTTGGGAAGCATTCTACCAACTGAGCTACATCCTTGCACTAGTCAGCGTTCTCTAAAGGAACAGAGCTGAGAGAAGGAATATATATGTATATATGAGATTTATTAGATTGGCTGGGAGTATGTGATCCTGGTAGTCCAACAATGGTTGTCTCACATCGGAGGCTGAGAATCCAGTGATTTTTCAACCCATGAGGCTGGATGTCTTAGCAGTCCCAAGTTGGTTCTGGAATCCTGGAGGACTCCTGAAGAGCTGCTGATATCCAGTCTGTGTTGGAATCCAGAAGTTGCTTCTGATGCCAAAGCAACAGGATAGATGAACTTGCCAGTGAGTTAGGGCAAACAAGCAAAAGGTGGAGTTTCTTTCTTCCATGTCCTTTTATTTGGACTGCTACCAAGATTTAGGGCTTTTCTCCTTGTACTCAGCAGCTTGGGTTTTAATTGATGCCAGATGCAGTCAAATTGATGACCAAGATTATTCATCAAAATCCTCAACTCTTATGCTGGCTAAATTTATGTCAACTTGACACAAACTAGAGTCATCTGAGAGGAGGAAAACTTAAGAAAATGCGTCCACAAGGTCGGGCTGTGGCCAGCCTGTAGAGCATTTTCTTAATTAGTGATCGATGGGGGAGGGCCCAGCTCATTGTGGGTGGGGTCACCCTTGAGGTGGTGGTCCTGGGTTCTATAAGAAAATGGACTGATAATGCCATGTGGAGCAAGCCAGTAAGCAGCACCCCTCCATGGCCTCTGCCTCAGCTCTGGTCTTCAGGTTCCTGCCCTGTTTGAGTTCCTGTCCAGGCTTCCTTCAGTGATGAAGTACAATGTGGAAGCATAAGCCCATTAAACCCTTTCCTCTCCATCTTGATTTTTGGTCATGGTGTTTCATCACAGCGGAAGAAACCCTAACTTAAAATAGCCCCTAACAGCCTTTTTAAAAAGATCTTGTCTACAAATACAGTCACATTCTAAATGTTTAGAACTTCAGTGTAGGACTTTAGGGGAGACACAATCCAGGCAGGGACAATATCCCCCCAGGCATGTGTGGTACACTTTGCCGTTTCCATCCATGTCACTCTAACAACCGAAGCTCAGCACCTTCTCATGGGGCCGTTAGTCATCTGCGTGTCTTCTTTAGTGAGAGATCAACTGAGATGTTCTAAATATTTTTCAGTGGGGCTGTTTGTCTTCTTGTTATTGAGTTTTTTAAAAGGTATTTTATTTTTTTTTAAGATTAAACAGTTTTATTGGCCATTGTCAGGCTATGCAAAAATCTAGAAATAATAAATTTTGTACAAAAACCCTCCAAATAAATAGTAAGCAGGAATGTAACAGCAATATGTAAATTTGTTGCTTTTTCCACGATATAAGTTAGTAACATTTCTAAGGGCCTATCTGGTGTGAGGGCAGGTTTGGCTCACTGGCAAAAACCTTCTGAACCTTCAGGATGCCTGGGAGCTCTATAGGCTCTGGCCAAATCCTTTGAGATTGCCAAGGAAGGTGTCCTTATGGCACTTGGCTGTGCTGAGCCCCATCCTGTGAAAGCTGTGAAAGCATTGTCCAGCTCCTAGTCCGAAAGGAAGTCTGTTAAGTGATCATAGGAGGTCCTGTCCAGAGGATCCCTGTTGAGTGGGTATCTTAGTATCCTTCCACTCAGAGTCACCAGTGGCCTAAAAACCAACTTCTCTCATAGAGAAAACATCACAGCTTTTGTCCAACCTTGTCTTCTCAAAAAAAAAAAAAAAAAAAAAAAAAAAGAGTTAAACAGAGAGAGAGGCCATACTTTGCTTCTTCTTCCCCCTTCTGACCTGAGACAAAAGCCTTCCGGTTTAAAACTTCAGCAGGCCCTGCCAAAGGTCTGGTTCAACAAGTTCAAGGCCCCAGGACATGTTTACTTAACAGTTACAGACTGATCAACCACCCTATCTTTCTTCAAACTTAGCAACCGTAACTTAGGGGAGGAAGACTCTCCAGAGACTTTAAAAATCCCAGTTCTAGAGAAGAGACTGCATTTTTGGCTTCCCAAGTCCCCCCTCTGCTTTGCTGAGGGTCTTGTTTTCTGTGTGTCTGCTGTATATGTGTGTGTCTCCTCACACCCAATAACCATCTTTCTACAGCTGATGATTCTGTCGGCTGCCGCTGTGATGTTTGAGTTTCTCAGCTGCTACCTGCTACCTACTGTGCTCAAGATTTTTTCCTGCCTCTCATTTCTTTTTTGGGGGCGGGGAGTTCACAATAGGGTTTTTCTGTGTGTAGCCCTGGCTGTCCTGGACCTTGCTCTGTAGACCAGGTTGGCCTCCAACTCACATAGATGCCCCTGCTTCTGTCTCCTGAGTGCTGAGATTAAAGGCGTGCACCACCACACCCAGCTGCCTTTCAATTCTTTAGCTGGCAGAGAAGACCCCTAGACCTCTCAACAGTGACAGTTCAGTACAAAGGTCTTCCTGCTCATTCTTTCTTGCTACAGCCATGAAATGAGGAGTCGGCCTTTGACCAGACTCGTGTGCTTCAACCTCTGTCCTGGTCATCAGATGTTGATGGAATATTAATGCTGTTAGTTATTAATTATTAGAAGTAGTTATTAATGTTGAAAGCAAAGGTGACTCTCTCCCCAAGCAACTGCACTAATTTGTTTTCTGTCTTGCTCATTTCCAGCTCTCTGCTTCTGGCATCTTGGCAGGGAACTCAAGCTTCTGGATTTTCTTTTCTTCATTTCAGGAGTCAGGAGTTTATCAAAAGCCTTGTCTCTCTCTTCCATTTTTGGATAGATATGCTTTGCTTGCATGACAATTTTTACCCCTCCCAAAGTTACATTATTAAGAGATTAAGGATAAAGATACCTTGGGGTATAATCTTATCTATGTAGACCAGGCTAGCCTTGAACTTGTTATTCTCTTGGCCTCACCTCCTGAGTGTTGGGATTACAAGTATTCTCTACAATGCCCAGTTCTTTCCCTTTTCTTTCTTTCTTTCTTTCTATCTTTCTTTCTATCTATCTATCTATCTATCTATCTATCTATCTATCTATCTATCTATCTATCTATCTATCTTTATGTAGCTGGAACTTTCTTTGGACTGCCAACCAGCTCCCAGATAAAGAGACGTGTTACTAATTTTGAATGCCTGGCCTTAGCTTAGGCTTGTCTCAATGGCTCTTTTAACTTAATTTAGCTTGCATTTATTCATCTATATTTTGCCTCGGAGCATTTTTCTTATTATTTCTAGCCACTTCTGGAGTCACATGACTGAATGTGATGTCACCAATCAGGCAAAATGCTTAGTTTACTCCAGGGCCTTATGTTTTCCATAATCTGTGTGCAGTGTCGTCACATAATCTGCACACAGAGTGATCACATAATCTATGTGCATGTGTGGTTTAGCTATGTAAGCCCATATATACATGTGCCAAGTGACCTATAAAAGCAGGCTCTACCCGCTCCCTGCTCTCTCTCCTTTTTGCTAGAAGTAGTGTACCCTCCTGCGCCTTTCTTTTCTGTAGGCCTACCCACCTCCATCTTTCCCTTTCTTAATAAAAACTCTTATAGTAGGTTCTGTTATACCTTGCGTTTTCTCACGCCTGGTAAATAATGTTGCCAAATAAATAACAATTTTACTTTCCTTTCAG